TAGGAGGGAAATGAGAATGAGTCTCTGAATTTCTCACAGGAAGCAGAGGGAACATAACATGTTATCTGAATAAGAGTGTGTGGGAGCTTGAGCCCTTGTTGCTTTCCAAGGTCCCCACAATGATCAACTCCCATAGCCTGAGTTCATTCATTAGTCCACAGGTATTTATCTGAGCGACTGTTACACACTAGACTCTGTTCTAGACTCAGAGAGGCCGATTTCAATATGATAGAAAGTCACCTTTTATATGAAACTTAGCTAATGACCCTCCTCCTCCAGGCTCCTGTCCCCTCCCTCTCATAGTCTGGGCTCAAAGCAGGTTCTCTGGTTTCCCAGGAGGCACATGGGTTCTCTCAGGCTTCGCAGGTAGCATTGCCTTCACCTGAGATGTGCCCCCTACCCCACATACACCGACCTTCTCCCACATCCTGTCACTTAGAGGCACTGGCCCCGCACCTGATGGAACTTGGATCCTGAGGTCGCTGCTCCAGGGGCCCTAACCTGCCATCTCCCTCCTGTGTGGATGAGCCTGTGGTTGGCTGTGATGGGCACTTTGGTGAATTCTAAGCTGCAGAGCGGAGGGCGAAGTCCAGTTTCCTTCCTGGGTCCTGGGCAGCTGGAGCCTGGCACGAGGTCCCCTGCCCAGGGAGTGACAGGAGGAGGCAGGTGTGGGGAAGGGAGAGGTTGGGGATGAGGGGGGGAGGCGGTGATGGCACAAGTCCTCGCCTGGAGCCCCGCGGGGCAGCCCAGTATCCCAGTGTGTCCCCCCGTGGCTGAGGGTCCCAGGGGTCTCCCTGCCCTGCAACCTCCCTCCAGCCCTAGATGACAGGGCCCCTGGGTGCTGGCAGTGGGAGTGCTGGGGTCCTGTGTCCCCACCATCTGGGGTCCACCCATCGGGCAGCTTAGCCATCCTCTCTCACCAGCGTGACAGGTCCTTCCTGTCCTCACAGCGCATTTCCTGTATCAGCCTAAGTCCGAGTGTCATTTCTCCAACGGGACAGAGCAGGTGCGGTTCCTGGAGAGACACATCTACAACGGGCAGGAGTTCATGTGCTTTGACACTGACATGGGGGAGTTCCGTGCAGAGACTGAGCTGAGGCGACCCATCGCCGAGTTCTTCAACAGCCTGGAGGTCCTCCTGCAGCGGGAGCGGGCCCAGGTGGACAGGTTCTGCAGAGACAACTACAGGTTTTCTGAGGGATTCCTGGTGCAGAGGCAAAGTGAGTGAAGAGGGTGGGAGGGGTGGCGAAGGGGGAAGGGGTGTGCACACAGGGCTGTGAGGAGCACCCATGAGGGCGTCTGTGGGACCCTGAGGTCCTGTCCTGTGTAGGGCGTTTCCGGGGGTGCCCAGTCCTGTCCAGTCGGGGAAGGGTTTGGGGAGCAACGGGGAGGGAGGGAGGTGGAAGGTGGGAGGAGGGCGTTGGTCTGTCTTGGCCAAAGCCCCCCCTGACCCTGAGCCCTGGAATAGGGGTGCCAGGTGCACAAGCCTTTTCCTGGGCAGAGGGTCAGGCTGGGTGTGAGGGGCGGGGCGG